ATAAGGTGGAAAGAATAAAAAACCCCCAACGTTTATAAATACAGACTGTTAATTTTCTTAGCCAAAATTAACTTGTTTTGTTGTGATATGTTTCTTTAATAGCTGTGATACCAAGAGGCATTAACAGATGTTATAAATTGTTTTTCTTATGTTTTATTTGCAGGTGTTGAAACTCTGATTGCATTAGTCTGACAACAGAATATGGAAAAATAAACATGCCCCCTGCTCCCTATTCAACCGTTTCTGGTTATCACTGCCTCTCTGTTTCTTAAAGCTTTGGAAGAGTTCAGGAGATAAAAAGAAATGCTGTAAAGGGAGTTTAGACCCTTGCATAGTACTCAGTCCTGGAAGAAATATGGGTATGATAAGACAGTTTTAGGCAGATTAGGTTTCAGTGGAACTATTCAGACGAACCTTCACTGTAAGAACGGTTTTAAAGAGTATTTGACAAAAAAAACTGCATGTGATTTTCTTCATCATTAAAAAACCCTAAGTAATTACAGTAAAACTTGGCAGGGACCCCAAACAGTATCAAAGAAGAAATTTACTTGTAGAATTCAAGTAAGAATCATGCTGATTTTATCTATTCTTTTTAAAAAGCATGCTGGAAACTTTAATCCTTTACCTAGTTAATATTGGTGTATGCAAGCATGCAAGGAAAAGCTGGTGGAAAACTGCAACTGCTGTGAATTATTATAATATGGTCAACTGAACACACTGCAATGCTTTCACAGAAACTGGGTTTATACAGCTCTTTTTCACGCTGAGAAACAAGATTTCTTAGCATAGTCTCTCTCATGAAACAAAAAATGGAAACGTATGGTCAGGAGAAGTTTATGCAAAGGTTAGTTAATCTGGTTGCTCAACTCAGACATGACAAAGGGGAATATAAGATCCAGGGAAGAATTCATGTTCATCAGCCAACAAATCTAAGTTGTCCTTCTGCTGCTAGAGTAGGCTGACAGCAACTGCAGCAGGTTCCCTATGCTGAGCATAGAAGGTTCCCTGAGTAACAGCTCTGGGGGCATCCACATGGAACAGTTGTGGTTACAGGCTGGGGGCAACAGAGTGATAGCAGGACCAGAGACTTTTCATAGGAGGCATTTTGGATTTCTTTTTCTCAAGTGACTTAGTAGGTTGAGGTACAGCATTTTTCTTCTTGTAAGCAAGATGCTCATTCTGGATTCTTTTCCTTCTCCCTGAATACTGCAGCTGTTAGAACTGGGCTAGACCACAGATTAAAAAGAAAAGTATTTGTGGGGGTTTTTTTACATTATAATTTTCTCTTACATCACTGATTTTCTGTTAGGTCATTTCTCTAATTTGTCTTCCATCTGGTCCTTATATCTGGAAAAATTTACTTCCTTGACAAGATGAGGACGGGAATAACCATGTGTGGAAGCATTCAGACTTCTCTTTCTATTCAAAGCTGCAAGAAACTACAAGCGCATTATTTTTAAATGCTCGATGATCTCCAGCATCCCCAGTAACAAAACACATCCTATGTGCCAGTAGCTGAAAGCATACTCTGAAAGTTAGCAAATACATGTTATAGGCATGTGATCTTTACTTTCCAAAATTTATCTTCCATTTTCTCTCTAAATACTTTTGCTCAGTGGAAAAAGAATGGTCAAAGGAAAATGAGCATCTGTTATCCAGACATCAAACTCATATGCAGCCAAAAATATTCCTCTGGCTTTCAATGTTAAAGGAAAATATAACTACATGATCTGTTAGCAGTTGGAGGGGGTATAAAAGGGAAGTTGCTTAGCAAAAACAAGTGAACTAATGGAAAATTATCTTTTAATACTCAAAATATGTATTTTTAAGAAATTTAGTAATTTAGGGTTGGACATTTTTCAGGTAAGTGAATATGACTGTGTGAATGGCTATTTAGCAAACAAGAATTCTCAGAACAGGAAGAACCTCTGGTTGCTTTACTAAACTTTCATCCTCAGTGCACAACGAGAGAAGAGACTGCCATGCTCAATTTGAACTAAATCATCCCCACTTGATCTGGCAGCTTGTGGGCTTCAACTTCCAAGGTGGAAGTGGGGTAAGCAAACTTAAAAATGTCATTGCCAAGTGAGCCTGTTGCTCACCTTAGCAGCAGTTGCTTTACAGTAAAAGGATTTATTCTAAAAATCATTGGTACCAAGTTCTACATCCTTTTGTCCCAGTAGCACTGCTGAAGACAATGCAAGTGCACCGTATGAAATCGACACCATGTAAATAATTATTTTACTGTGTGTTGTACTGTTTGCTCAAAAGGACTTAAGATTTTATCGTTAGAACACTCACTTCCATTGTACTTATTCTAATTTCTAAATAAAAAAATACCATCTTTCTACTAATTTCACTGGATGTCAGATCACACTTTAAGTCAGCAGTCATGATGCTGTCTGTTAATCATACAGCAAACTAGCTCAAAGCAAGCAAATTTTTGATAAAAAGATAAACAAGATATTTTAATGATTTTTTTCATTATTTTTAGGAGTTCAGCATTTGCTCAGATCATCAGCCACAAAACTCTGACATTCAGAGGCCTTGCATGTCTTTTAAACACGTTTAATATTTTATTTTAAAATACAACCAAAACACAGTCTAGAAAGACACAAAACCAATACAATTTCAATTAAGGTTTACTTACATAAAACATTTTTATATATGATTTATTTTAAAAAAATACATTGTGTCCTCGAGGGAAATGCCAAATTAAAAAAGAATCTGCCCCACCATATTTCTGACCCAGTATCTTTATAGCTACAAATAACATTTCAATGGCTGGCTGATTTACAAAATTAAAAGAGATTTATTTTCAACATGTTTTTCTTGAGCAAGAGACAGCCTTCTTTGTACAGTCACTTTCACTACGATTATGTTCCCTCATTAGTTTAAATGGATTAACATATAAACAGGAGGTAAAGACTGTTTTAAGAGAAAGTAAGAAAGGTGGTTGTGAAAACTGGTAGCAAGAACAGCATTTGCTATTTTTAAGTAGATTTACTTTGCATTTTCAGTGTCCCTCTAGTACACCAATAATCAATGGTGGTTATTTAGCTCACTTTTAGAAACATAAAACCCAGTATCTATAGAATGGCACTCTAAGCTGAACTTTAGTGTAAGGGATCATCAATACCTAGAAAATCAAAAGCACTTGCTGTTTGTATAAATATCCTTTTAAAGAATCACTTCCAAATTGCCTTGAATTAGAATGTCATGTTAAGATCATTTTACCTTACACGAATATATTTAACAAGTTACCTGTGATTTGGGGAATGTTTCAGCCCTTTTTTGTTCAAAAGAACGTATTTTAGCTTCACTCATCTTATCTGAGTCTGCAAAAACATAATGTCTAGGAGAGTAGGACTCTGACAAACAGCTAAGTAACCTCAGGATTTCTGTTGTGTGCCCACCTGCAAAAACAAAACAAACTGCAATTAGTGTATGGGAAATTTTGTACCTTTCCATTTCTTCAGCTGAATCGGTCACTTTTCCTTTTAAAATGTGTTAGTACTACTGCTTTCAGTGATGCTCTCCTGAGAGTAGAGGATTCAATCAGAGGATGATTAAGACTAAATGTTTAAATAATGTGGAGATAATGCACTGAAGCTGTACTGATGGATGTTTTTCAGCAGGGACTGTACTATCCCAGCTCATAATACCGAAATCAACTGGGCAGCAGTTTCACTCCCAGCCGCTCCAGCGTAACAGCCTGGTGCAGACAAAACAAACAGTCCTGCTCCCGCGGGGCGCTCTGACCACTGCCCTTGAGCAGGTGTTCACAACCTTCCAACTGCAAGGTCACTTGATTCAGGGAGCTAAACTGGCACCAAACTGGAGAGGAAGTACTAATTGTGCTTTTTAGGGGGCAGGGTTAATTTTTTTGTCATTTGAGCTTCCTGAACTGCAGCTACAGGGATACTGCAACAGGGAAAGGGAGAGAAAGAAGACTGTGTGCACAGGTGAAGTGGAACGGGTTCACCTTTTATCTGTTGGACTGGATCAGCTTAACATCAAACTGCACTTATGCTATGTGCATAAGCATTTACTGGACGTGTTACTTTGCTGGCAGCTACAGACCAAAACAGCAAACTAAATGTACTCCTACTACCTCCTGCTGACCAGGGTCACCAGGCTCCTGAGAGACCTGTTACACAGGTGAAGCACTCGTGACTGCCGAACGATTGACAAGCAAGGCAGGTGTGCCCTTTTACAAATGAGAGTTTGCCACCTTTCCACACAATTTCATGCTGTATTTTTCAAATATGTTTGGAGGTATTTTCTTGTGAGCAACGTTTGTTGAAGGTTTCACAAATTTTAATGCAATCATCTGAGCATTCACATAAGAGTAGGAGACTCCTACTTAAAGTCTCAAATAGCCTTGAACATTATATGAATCTTAACTGCCATGAATTATTTCACCTGGTAAGCTTATATATAGGGAAAGTACTCTTTTAATACAGACAAACTAGATTCCAAAGGACTGAAGGAAAACAAGCACATTTCCAGCCCTAGTGGAAGTAAAGATGACTTGAAGAATTATAAAACTGCCAGTGAAACTCAGATTGCAGGAAGATCCTGAGACCATTACTCAATTAGTTGGTGCACAGAAACCATAGGGATACTGATGTGATGAAATCCAAACTGGCCTGGATTTGTCAATTGCAACTTTTCGAATTAGTTTTTTGGGGCAAATTAATTGCCCTGCAACTTTGGGGAGGAGGTAACAAGGAGCAGTAGATGTGTGTGCCCCCCTTAGCATGGGGTGACACACTTGCACAGCTGTACTGCCTCTGACGGACCCATGCGAGGCTTTTGAGAGTAAATCACAGGAACGTGGTTTGGGTGAATTACAAAACGCCACGTATGTCAGGGGTGTGCCGATCGTTGGAAAGCCATGCCCTGCACCACCATCAATACTTTTTCGTCAGCAGACTAAGCAGCTGCACAGGTCAGTCCTGCACCAGTTTATCGATACACTCGGGAGTGACTGGAGAAATGCACGTGCTGCCGGAGGGAAAGGTTCTGAAACACGGACGAAAAAGCCCCACATGAAGACGTAGCCTAACAGTTTCTCAAATCGAGCACTAAAAAACCCAAAGACAGGCGGCAGCGCGGAGGAGGCCCGGCCCGGCCCGGCCCGGGCGGGCTGCGAGAGCTGCCGTGGAGGAACCATGGCACCGCGACTATAGCTCCCGGCATGCACCGGGGCCTACCGGCGGGCGCCGCACCGCGCTGCATGCCGGGACTCGCAGTTCCAGGAGCACTGCGTGGCGGCTCTACGGCGCCATCCACTCCCGCTGGCGGCAATCCCCACTCACCGGAGCCAGCCACCACCAGGAGACTGAGCGGAGGTGTCCGCCGGCCGCTGCGCTTCCTGGCCACGAGCGCCAGCGGGACGAGCAGTAAGGGGAGGAGGAGGAGGAGGAGGGCGGCCGGCTGCAGGAGCTCCATGGCGCAGCCGGGGCCGCTCCGCGCGGAAGCGGCGGTGGCACCTCCCCCGTACGGCGGCCGGCGCGGTTCAAACCTCCTCGCGCGGTGAACGCGGTGGGGGTGCCGGGAGCGGTGCGGGGCTGAGGGCGGCAATAAAGTATGAGGGGCTCCCCTTGTGCGGGGTCTGTGCTCGCCGAGTGTGCGGGGTCTGTGCTCGCCGAGTGTGCGGGGTCTGTGCTCGCCGAGTGTGCGGGGTCTGTGTCCCCCGCGTGCCTGAAAAATACAGCATGAACCTGTGTGCCGGTCTGTGCTCCCGCCGTGTGCCGGGTGTGCTCCGCTCTCCTGCGAGCGCGGTCCCGGAGCTCCGAACTCCTGCGTGCGGGAGCGCGACCGCGAGTGTGGGCAAGAGCTGGCGCTCCCAGGGCCCTGCAGGGGCTGCGGTCTGCTAGAGGAGGTCGAACTGTCCTAATTCACCTGTAAACCGAGACATGCGTGCCGCAGCATGTGTCTGTCATGTGGCTCCTCTGGCACGTACAGATTTCTGCATCAATTTGCCCGCGTGCGCAAGCATAACACCGACCCAGGTACGTATGCTTGCATGCAGTTGTAATTTTCTATAATGCATAAAATGAAGGATATTAACATTTCAGTGCCTGTCGTGACTCTTGTTTTCACTCATTCCAATACTTTAGCTTTTTATTTCAGTAAGAAGCGTGGAGCAACAGATCAGCACTCTTTTTGTCCCTGTCAGCATCCGCTCTTTGTTGGGAGATAGCGATGATTCAGCCACCGGACTAATCTCAGATGAGATATCTGTTTGCTAGAAAGAGTAAGATATTGCATTTTATGATTAGGAAAGAGTTTGTTCATCACTGTTCTTAAATTATTGCCAGGGAGCAAGGCCATCCTTTTGGCTGATGAATCAGGAGTAATGAACTCTGGAACTTTATGGAGCGGTTTGACACCAGTGCTTTATAGGCTGAGTTGTCGCACATATGAAGCGTGACAGCTGTGCACTTGTACCTCAAGTGCACAAACACAATAGATCAAACACATTGCAATTCTGCATCTGCCTGCCATGGTTTCGAGGGCTGTTTTTTCCCTTCTTATTTGTTCTAAGCAAATTGGACTTTTTGTATCCCTACTGGCCTTGGAAGCTGAATGTTTCTCATTTTTAACAAAAATATGCCAGTTGTGGGTTCCAGTGGTTATTGTGTAACATGCAATTAAATGATACGTGTTCGAGCTATCCTTTGTCATCTTAGGATCTGAAGTGAATCTTTCTGATTCACACCTTGTAGTTCTACAGATTATGTTTTTTTTCTTTACGTCAGTGTAACATGTAATTTTGCAGTTGTTTTAAGCAGAGACTATTAAAAACAATATTACCATGGTAAGCTTGTCTTCCACCCAAATGAGTAACCTCACAAACAATATTTCACTACCTAATCGTTGTTGACATTTTGGAGCAACAAGGTTTTAATTAATAGTTCTGTTGATGATGCATGAATTTTAAAAATTCATTTTGATTTCCACTTAATTAGCTACATAAAACTAATAAGTAGGGACAATAGAGATGGATGTCTGTCAATGACAGAAGAGGAAGAAAGTACCACAGTCCCTTTCAGGACATAAACTACTATGTTAAAATAAGCCAGTAAGTTCTATAGACAATTTAAGTATTAATTTTGACTGTGGTGATCTTTTCCCCGCTTGTACTTTCTTCAGTGAAAATAATGTCATTGATGTAGAATTTAGCCCAGGTTGCCACATTGGCTGTAGCTAGCAAATGTTTTATTTAAGTTGTTTTTTCAAGATTTTTCAAGATCTTTCCTTTGCTCTTATTTTTTCCCTACCATAAATGTCATAGAACTGCATTTTATTAGGCATTTTATTCCAAGAAACAATCCTGGAAACAGTGGCAAGGAGTGACATAAAAACCTTCAACTTCTTATCTCCTTTTCATGTTATTTCTTCTGTATGTACGTACTTCTCCTTCCAATGCAAAATTCTTCTGCAAAGCTATTTGGTGAAATTAAAGAGAAACTGACCTAAAACCAGTAAAGTTGGAAGTTTCTGTTTGGTTGTTTTTGTTTTGGGGGGTTTTCTTTTGCTATGTAAGTTATTTAAAAACAAGAGGAAAAAATAAGAATGATACATGCAGGGAAATACCTGTTCCTTGGAGTAGAAAATTGAGAATCTGAGAAATCCTTGGATGTAAAGCAAAGTTGCTGACATTCAAGGAGTCTAAAAAGCTAATCAGTGAGTTTGCCTCATAAATTCCTACAAGTGCTTGAAGTCATCTAACTCATTGTTAATGCTGCTAGAGTAAGGGATTTAGCTTTCAAGTGGTAAACACAGAAGATTGCAAGGCTTGAGGGGAGAGTCAGAGTTTGGTAAGACAGGTTAAAATAACTAAAGACTGAAGCAACAACCTGCAACCTAGTTGGAATAAGGGTTTGTGGATTTTTTTTTTTTCCTTGGTGAAAATTGAGCAGAGCTCATGAAGATCCCACTTGCAGCATAACACTGCTAATTATACCTTTTCTCAGTAGGACATAGGTGTATTTGTGTTTTTTCATCACGGCAACTCCCTGCTCGCTTGATATGATGTTCTTGGACATGGTAGACTTGAGTCTGAAGTTGTAACAGGCACGAATCAAGCAGTTGCTCCTACTCCTTCAGCTGTGCCGTGTGCTCCGCGATTGATCTTGATCCATGAAGTGCCTTGAGAATTCTTCATCTCAGCATCAGACTTCCATGTGAAAGTTCATGTGAAAAGCAGTGACTCTCCCCAAGTTTAGCACAACATGGTCACGTTAGCTAAGTAACGTGAAGCAGGTGAAGTACAGGACTACTGTGAGGAAGGCAGGGACTAGTGCTGGATCCTGCTCTCCAGTTTGCAGATCAACAATACTACAAGTGAGTGTGTGACCTGCACGTTTGGGAGGAAGCAGTGCACTTGGTCCGAAAAGTCATTTGTCAGAAGGTGATGCAAGTGCAGTAATTACAGAGGCTGCCTCTGGTACCTCTGCTACTGTTGCATGAAGTTAGCTTTGAACTTCTTTACTGGAGGAGAAATAAACTACGCTTACTCTAAATACTTGATCACTGTTATTGAACTGAAGCTCTTAAATAGGAAAAAATAGGTGTAGTATTTTTTCCATGTACTGCTTGTGAGACTGTTCCAAAGAAAAACCTGCTGCTACCCTTTTTAATATTAGAAATGCAAGCTGCATCTGGAAGACTCTAAGAGTAACATTATCATGAGTGTTATAAAAACTTTTGTGTTTGGGAAGGAAAGGGATTTTTAATTAAATCAGTGGACTAGACCATTTGGAATCAGCTGAGTGACATGATGAAGCAGGCAGCTGATAAATACATAAGCTACTGGCTGATCTCACTTGAAGGCAGAATTAGGATGTTGTCAGAGCCAATCTGGCAAAATTTGTCCCTTTTAGCAGCAGGTACTTTCAATTACTTTGGGCCCAATGCAGTTTCACTTTGTATGAGTCATCAGAATTATACGAATGTAAGCTTAGAAGTCCTGATTTGTATTTGTAATCAATAACAGCTGTAATAATATTTGTGTTAATGTTGGAGTTAGTGCTGTGCTTCTTGGTATAATGGCACTTGTATATAAATTGTAAATTATGTCTTGTTTAGACACAAAGATATAGCACTTGCAAACACTTAAACCAATGCTTTTGCTAAATAGTCAAAAAAGTGGAACCAAATTCTCCAAATCATGAGACTTTTTCCATTGTAAAAATCCTAAAAAAATTTATTTTTTTTCCCCATTCACATTCACTTTAATTTTCAGTGACAGACAGCAAAGTGGTTGTGAGTTTACAATAACTCAATACATAAGGTATCCTTCCCTCCTACTATTTAAACATTTCCCTCTTGTTGGCAATGTTGTTTTCTGCATATAGTCTTTGGAAGTGGGGGAGGAGGTTGTTTTTAAAAATTTGTTTGGGTCTAAATACCATGTATGAATTTAGAATCAAAGTACCAATTTCTAGGGAAAATGTTTTCTCTAATAGGCATGAGCCATGGTGCTAGCAGATGTTTCTTTAACCTGCTACATCTGAGAGCATGTCTGGAGGGCTGGTGAGTGTGGCTTTGATGACACAAGGTTTGGTAACAGTTTGGGTGCATTCGAAGCAAGAATTTTAGCAGTAGGCAGAACCAAAATTACATAATGCCACTTGTTGTAATTACTGGGTAGCATGTTCAGGGAGCAGTTCCTGTAACATAATATAAAATAATGCTCTTCTGTCTATTCAAAAGGCCAGGAGAAAGAGACTGCTGTTTTACTCAAAAATACTGAGTGTTGTAGAGGTCCTTTGGGTGCCTCAGGCCGCTCAGCCTGTAAAAATAAGGCCTTTTAAAAAAACATTCCTAAAAATAGACTTGAAATCTAATATTAATCTCCTGGAAATATATCTTCAGATCTGTAGTGTTAAATGAAATTTGCAGGGTACTCAGAGGTTAGACTGTAGAAGTCATCTACATATTCACTGATGCTTTTTGACTGGGGTTTTCCTGAGCTTTCCACATAAGCATTTGTAAGGAGGATGAGGAGAAATGGACATTTGTTTAGCCTTTCCTGGATTCCTGCTGTCAGAAAACTGGCTGTTGCTTGTGCAGGGAGGTAGCCTGGTCTCATCTATCAGCTTATTTCTGTGCACAGCTCTTCCTCTCAGATTGAAAACCAGGTAGTTGTGAGGCTGGTGCTGCTGTTACAGGTCATGTTCTGGATTTCAGTGCTCAGCCCTCAGGATTCTTAGGTTTGAGAAAAGGGTGTCTCGCCCTTCTGTGCTCTCTGCATCCTCTCTTTCTGAGCATACAAAATGCAGCAGAACTGACACCCTCCAATGTAAGGACAGGTTCTTGAGTTAAAAGTGAGGACAGTTCTCTGAGCTGTTTAGGTTTCTAAAGGTCTAGCATTGAATTAATGACATGCTGGAGCCAGAAGGGGCTGGTCATATTAAAAGAGAAGAGGAGATGTGTTCTGGTTTTGTTCCTCACTGTCTTTCATTTTCTTTTCCTCCCATTTTTCTTCTGTCTTTTCTGTATGCAGTTGTGTTTAAAAATATGTCTTTTATTGACCATTGTTTTGCGAATGCTGCCAGATATGGCTGTAGGTTTGGGGATTTAACCAAGTTCTATAAAAGTCAATTGAATGTAATGACTCCACTAGCTCTCAATGAAGATAAATTGAATTCTTCGTAGAGTTTGCAAGTGCTGCCAAACGTTTCTCATTTATTTATTTTAATTTCTGTATGTTTGTGTATAATTCTTGCAACACAAAATATTAAAATTTTGAAATGTGAAGGTCCTTCTACTGCTTCCATCTCTTAGTTAAAAATATGTAAGATGTCAAGCACAGCAAACCCTGTTAAGAAAAAGCTGACACAGTTAAAAGTCCAGCTATGGCCAATATAACTTGCCTTCTGCACTGTACTTTAACAGTCTTGAATTATGTGATAACATAAAATTTAAAACCAGATACCCCTCACTTACATTTTTTTCATCAACCACAGGTGATGTGTAACACTGTTCTCTCTATGTTTGACAG